CTTGAGCTTGCTTTTTATAACCCATACCACATTTAAATAATTCAGAAGGCACAGTTCTCCATTATATAACCTCACCATCTTGATTCCCTTCTTTGCCTTCCTCCGTCCCCTTATTTTACACCTGCAAACCAGGTACACTGTCTTCAACACAGTCTGGCCTTTGCTTGTGTCTGTACTGTTTTCATGTTTTGCGTTATATGCATTACTCCTGTCTTCAGGCTTCTCCCACTCCCCCTCTCACCCATCTCACACAAGCACATCTCCCTGCTCCTGCAGCGTCTCCTCCAGCGGGCGTGGGGCGGGTGCAGGGCGCGTGGGGAGACCCCAGACAGTCAGGCGCACGCAGCGGCGCAGGGCTGCTGCTCGGCGTGTTTATTGTTAAGCAGTGTGGAAGAGCTGTGCGCCGTGCGCTGTGGTCCTAGTGCCTGAGCTCCGCTGTGCTGCCCTCCTGACTCCCTGCACCCCCTGCACAGCCCCTGACAAATTTCACCTGGTATGAACCGCTACTCACAGAGAGATCATTCTTCCGCTGCTTTTACAAAGTGTCCTGCTCACCCATAGCCCTGTACGCACCCTGTTCAGATCATAGCCACAGACTACTGCAATCCAGTCCAAACTAAGAGCAGTTGCCTTCCGACCATCCTGCAAGACTCGAGACACAGGAGACGCCACAGGCAGGGGACGAGGGGGAAGCTCGTCCCTCGTCCCCTCAGATGAGGGGCGGCAGCCGTGCGAAGCCACAGGCCTGCCAGCAGTGCCCCAGAGCACAGGCATCGAGAACAGGACAGCTTGTCTTACCGTTTCCACGTCCTCCAGCCGTCCGCGCCTCATGTGCACACGCGCTGTCGGGGAGAAGCTCCGCTCAGCCAGGCAGCAGCAGCAGCAGCATCCTCTGCGCGCGCGTGCGTGTGTGTGTGTGGTAGCGGTTTTTACTGTGCTGCTTCCTCTCTCTCAGTAGCTCCCGAGCAGTTAGGAAATTCTGCACAGAGGAGCCGGGGAGGAGGGTGTGTGTGTCTGTGTGTGTCTGTGTGAGTGAGTGAATGAGTACGGGAGGGATGGAAGGAGGGGGGGATGGGGATGGGAGGGAGAAGGTTGGATTAACACATTAAAAAAGGAGAAGCAGCTGCAGGTTGTGCTGTGAAAATCAGAATCCCTTCAAGATAAATAAATCCAGCTTTGGTCTGACTCCCTCAAGGAAAAAAAGCCCCAGGAAAAAGCAACAGTCCCAAAAAGCCTGTGATGAGAAAGGTGCAAGAGTCCAGTGTTCCTCTCTCTGCTCGAGCAGGAATGGGGAGTGAGACAGAAAGCTGAGGCGGTGAGAGGCAGGCGAGAGAGAGAGGGCGAGCGAGAGCGCGAGGGAGGGGGTGGGGTGCTGTGGACTGACTGGAGCTGTGCTGTTTCCGTGCCGACCGCCCCTTGTCTCCCTAGCAGAGGGACCGCTGTGATGCTGAGCGCTGTGCGTTTGGAGGTGCCCGCGCGCCGCACACGCAATCCGCCCGAGCCTATTGGAGCGCAGCCACGAGTGGCAGCCCTGTGGTCCCAGTCGCAGCCCGCGAGAGGTGGGGGGCTGACAGGGAGGAGGCCACCCAACCCTTTCCCAGCCCCCCCGTCTGTGCTCTGTAGGCAGGGAGAGAGAGTACAGAAACAGGTGCTGAGAGGCAGAGCGTGTGGACAGGGAGACCACGGGCAGCAGGCAGGGCCGCGCAGGGCCAGTGTGATGCTGAGCCCACAGCACCAGCGGGGCCAAAGCAGGGGTCCGTCTCTTTAGCTCCAGAGGCGCCCCTCTCCATGACGAGGGCTTCAGACTCTTTGTAGTGAAATATGTACAGGTGTAGGTATTAGACACGCAGCCTCGACATGGAGATGAGCCAGAGGAGCTGACTGTGGTGTGAAGCACTAAGCAGAAACTGCAGTGTGTGGCAGGAGTGCTTCTGGTTAACTGGGTTGTCCCTTTATTTTTGAGGGGATGAGCTGTATGTGTTAATAATGGGTGAACAGAAACACAATCTGGAATTCAGGGGCTTTGTGCAGAGACGGACTGTGTGCCTGGGAGAGGTCCAGTTCTGGCACAACCTCCTGTCTCCGACCAGAACCAGCTGCTCTCTCTTCAGTCCAGGTCAATCACCAGCAGAGGGCTTCCCTCTTTATTTAAGGGAGTGTGCATTGAAAATCGGAATTCGGCCGCTCTCTGCTCCTGTGGCTGCTGCATCGATCCCAGGTCCCTGCCAAGGCATCCCAGAGAATCGTTTCCCACCGCTGGGAGGGGGAAGGGCCGCGGTTCTGTCTGGCCAGACCGCCATCGGTAAGCTCGGGAAGCAGAGCTTGTGTGCGAAGGAGTGAAGCAAGTCGCCCAGTGGGGGACAAGTAATACAGGAGCAAAGAAACAGCACACTGAGTGTATTTCAGGAAGGCGTGCAAAGGCCTGGCTACTCCAGCCTGACAAGCCAGTGTGAAGGTGCTTAATGACCGCTGCTATTTCCAAGGCTGTACGTGATGTCCTTAGGAGAGTCGTTATTCTGCGGTTGGCCTTACAAGTTCTTCCAGCGTCCCCATCCTCGGGCTCTCTCTGTCTCTCTCTCTGCCTCCCTCTCTCTTTTCTTTCTCACTCCTCTTTGCTCTCTTATTGTATTTCTTTTCCTTTCCCTCTTTTGTACTCAATTCAATTCAATTCAAGGTGCTTTATTAGCATGACCGATGGGTACAATCAGTGTTGCAAAGCAAATAAAAATAATGAAATTCACATGAAACAAAACAAAAAATAAAATTTATATAAAATCTACAGACATATTACAGACATTTACAACAATGACATATTATAAAATATTTACATATACTGTAGGCAGAAGGAGCATTATTTGGAGACAGGCTCACTGTTCCTCAGGCTGTGACAGGAGATCACATACTGGGCTCCCAGTTCAACTGAGTTCCCTCCTCCCTCTCCCAGTAGGATTGGGACCCATTGTGATTCTGGCAGGTATTCTCTCTCCCTCCTCAGTCTTTCTCCCTTCTCCCTTGTCCCCTTTGTCTTCCTCTCCATCTTTGTTCTTATGAGCCCCTGTCTGCCTTCTTTCAAGCACAGGCCCTGTAGGGTGTGAGGTGCCCTGTTCATGCCTGCTCAGATCTGTGCTGGGTGTTGTGTCACCACAGTGCTGTTTGCTGGAATTTCACTGGGGGCTTTGCCCATTAAAGCTGTGCTGTTGTGAAAGGAGCAACGCTTTTATGTGCACACTCATTTCAACACTGCCTGTGCAGTAAGATCAGAGCAGATTGGAGGAGAGGAAGAGGGCTAGAAATTGCTGATTGTCTGTGTGTTTTCGGTGGCGAGCTGTGCAGATGGACAGATGTGTCTGCAAGCAGAGTGTTATCAGATTTATAGAGAAGCACACTTATCTCTACTTGGAAACCGCCTGAGTCATGATGATTTTAACTCTGAGCTTTCTTTCTTTGGGGTTTTATTGCTCAAAAGGAAACCAAGAGCTTTTTTGTTTCTCCCATAATCTGACTTCCTAGCAGGGTTAAGGGTACCTGAACTGCAGCAGCAGCAGTACACAAAGGACAGGAGACCAATGAGCAGGGCTGCGCAGGCCGTGCCTCCATGCGTGAGTGCAGGCTGCATGCGTGGAGCGGTTGCTCCTCCCGTTACAGTGCGCATGAGCCTCGCTGCATGCCTGCAAGCGCAGGACTGACGCTGGGCACGCAGTGGTAGAAAACGTGCTTCATCATGTCGTTTGGACGCAGTTTAAAGGGGGAGCAGTCATCCTTGAGCAGCGTATCCTTGAAGTTACGATATTTGATGATACACTCTTCTATCTCCTCATTAATTGTCTTTTTATCATCATAGCCATGTGCTCTGCAAAGCAAAGGTAATGCCTCTCCAAGAATCTGGGTTAGTTAAAAATAGAGCACTTAGCCTTCCATTCATTAATCCCATTGACATTTCCATGCTGCGCCACAGTGTATCACGCCCATTGTGTGCAGGAGCAAAGTGCCAGTG